CGGACCGTCGATTGAACGACGAGCTGTCGATGGCCTTCGTAGGTCATCTTTCTTCACTTTTTATTAGTTGCCTTCTGCTTTTTTTATCTGGACATCTTTCGTGCAAAACAAACAAAAAAACATGTTAAAACTACTACATAAAGACTCTAGACACACACAACTCTTAAGCTAAATGCATTGAAAGCACCGTAAAACCACGGTACATCAGCCTACAGTTTAGAGAAAGATTCAAACAATGTAGCAAGATAAGGTAAGACATCAATGTTAGTCTGATATTGCTTTGGAGACTCTTAGGGTAATGTGTTTTCATCAAACACAACATTCTAGATATGTAAGCCCTCATTGTAGAGGGGTGATAGCATTTATATCCTTTGTGTAAGTTGGTGTACCCTATGAACACACAAGGGTAGGACCTTGGACTAAACTTATTGCTACATTTGATACATGGAAAACATATACACACAAACACTTTTAGGCTATTGTGATCAGGTTATTCTCCATACAACTTAACAAATGGAGTTGCTATCTTTAGGATTGATGAAAGAAGTTTATGGATGACGAATACTGCAGTGAGGAATGCCTCAACCCATAGAAACAAAGGTAGGTCAGCATGAAGTAGTAGAGCTAAGCTACTCTCCACAATATACCTATGTTTTCTCTCTATAGCTCTATTTTGTTCAGGTGTGTTAGCACATGAAATATGAATCACAATGCCATAATCTTCCAAGTGCTTAATTAAGGTTGTTTGGATAAACCCACCACCTCTATCACGATGAAAAATCTTAATCTCTTCAAAAATTTGTTTTTCCACCATTTTCTCAAATTTTACCAAGACCTCAAAAAATTTGGATTTCTTTTTCAGTGGATAATCCATGTAAATCTCGTGTGATCATCAACAAAAATGACATAATATTTCATATGTTGGGAAAATTCGACAAGAGCAGATCCGTATAAATCACAATGGATTTTCAATAAAGGTTTCTTCTCAATTTTATTTCTCAAACTGATGAAAGTTTACAACTCTTTATCAACTGATAACATGAACAAACAGTAGGCATTTTACTCCAACTACTAATATTGATGCAACTATTACTATTCAAACTTTTGAAGTCTTCAAACTAGTGTGTCCTAATCTAGTATGTCACATGTTGTCTGAAGTGTTCTTGTTGTGTGCAACATTTAAAGCATAGAGATTGTTATCTTCCAAAGCATATAGTCCATTAGTTCCCTTGGCCAACCCTTGTCTTATTGTCCTTTACAAAAAAGTTAGTTTCATCAAATTCAAGAGTGAAACAATTATCCTTTGCAAGCTTACTAACTGAGAGTAAATTCTTATTAATCTTAGGGACTATAAGAATTTCTTTTAACTTTAGACCCAATCTGAATAGATTCCCAACATGTATAATGTCTAACTTTGATCCATTCCAATAATGATTTTATCTGGTCCATTTTAGTATTTAAGATTAGTTAGGATACCTATGTTATGTGTCATATGGATACCTGCTCCTGAGTCGACATACAAGGTAACATCATTAGTGCTTAGTAGATTAGTAACAGACAATGCTTCTGGTAGATCATCTGCGGCTTGGTAAGAGTGATGACACTTGTGAAAACACTTAAGACCAGTATGGTTATTCTTACCACAAATTTGACATGCATCAATATTGTTCCTCTCATGACTTCCACTTGAAGTAGTGTTCTGAGGACCTAGTTCGTATCTGCTGTTATAAGAACTTTTTTCTTGTCGAGCAAGCTTAAAGCTTCTTCCTCTGGAATTGAAATTATCATTTCCTCTTCTTTGGGAGTAATTTCCTCTTCCCCTGCTTCTTTTGGCATAAAATGCGGGTTATGGTTTTGTTGAGGCACTTTTTCTTCATCCTCCCTCATATCAAAAGCCCCAGAGAACATTAACAAATTGATTAATAGTAGATTATGGTGTCTTACCTAGCATGATAGTCTTGAAGGTCTTATACTTAAGACCTAGACCTCTAGAAAAATTATTCACTTTGCTATCTTTATCTACAGGCTTGTGAATGGCTTTAAGGTTGTCATGCCTTTAAATTGCTTAATATATTCGTCAATTATTTTGGTTCCTATCTTTATAATTTATCGTTGTTGTTTGAGTTGGAACTTTTATCTTTTGTTGCTTGAAGATAAGTTTCTTCCAAGCATTCCCATATCTCCTTAACATTTGAGCAGCCTACGATCAAGAACACTTAATCATGGGTTCTCGGCAAAGCCAATCAAAATAACCCCATTGTTCAGAAGCAGGTTTTGGAGCTATGTTTTTATACAAGTTTAGTCTTTAATGCTTTAGTTTCTTTGTATCTTTCATCTGTGCAGTTTCTGTGTTTATATTCTAAATTTACTGGCTATCGTATTGACACTGTGCAATGACTTATGCATTCAGGTCCTGTAACTATCTCGCGTATCTTTTATGTCATTTCCATCCTCAATATATTGAACAAGGCCTCTGTAATACAAAACATTGACATTCGTGTTGGTGACATCTTTTAAAAAGATTCACCTGTGATATTGCTTTCACTGCAGGCTCTTTACGCAATTAAAAACATACTACTAGGAAGTTCAAACCTTCAGAGACTTGTGTAAATTGAACGAGGTACTTGAGAGGACGAGGCAACAGTTAAATGATCTTAGAAAAGAATACGCAATAGATGTGGAAAGTCTTGGTAAAGAAGTTAACCTGACCTTCCATCAAAAGCTGAATAGATTCCTTTTTCATTTGAAGTTGAATTTGGATCCTCTGCTAAAACTCGAAATGACAGGTTACACAAGCTGCAATATGATGACAGTTTCTGGCATGATCCGGTTCTTGAACTTTATACTGTTTACATTCTTCTCTGTGGGGAAGACGCGGAAGTGGATCGATATCTTCATCATCTCACTCCGTTTGTTCATCTGGACATGGACTCGAAATTGGTACATCATCTGTTTAGGACAAGACTAATGTGAGATGGATAGCATTATCAGGTGACTACAACTTAGGCTGATTTTATAAGTGTTACTATTTAAGTCATAGCCAATTTTCTCAAGTATTTAACTTTTAATCAATCTTGAAAATTTGATAGCAATGTAATGTATGTGATGAGACAATTTTGGGGCAAGACCAATTGTTTCTGGTTCTACAGAATTTGTACCAACCTTTAGTCATGAGGTTTTGAAATAGAAAAATTAAAGAGAATATTCAATTTTCAACGAAATTACTTATTATCTATTTCACATAATAACAATCATGATTATAATTTGTATATATGCCTATTTAATATTGATGATTAAATCTTGTCAAAGATAAAACGGTTTTATAATAAGAGGTTATGTTTTGCAAATTATAACTTCAAACGTAAATGTCTAAAGCTGAATACAAAATTCGAAAAATATTTGAATTTGTCAAACTTTTAATCTTCATCAAAATGTGTACCGCGTGGAAATGAGATGTTCAATAACGATCCTAACATGAATAATTTGAACCAATAGTATAACAATATGATACATTAATCTTTCACGTATAATAAATAGCAAATTTGACTATTGTTTTTCTACTCTGATAAAAAATACATCTAAAATAACTTTATTTTTTAAATTTCATGCTTAAACTATTAAAATATGTGAGTTTGCTACGTGAATTATCGATTATTCACTTTTCTTGTCCTGAAATATCATTATCGCACGGTACTATTAAAGGTTACGGTGCTGTAGTAGGTAGGAATATAAGTCCATGGTTGGACTTCGACCACCAGTACAAAAGAGAGGCCACATATCTAATCTTTTATGATTCACAAGTGGAAGGTTTGAACTTTGAACTCTGTATTGTCATTGTTGAAATTTATTTCTACCAAACATTGATATCAACCTAACAATATGTTCTCCAGTATTTTTATATACATTGACATATTATAATTAAATTATAAATTATAACTAATAGTATATGAACTCACTTTAATTTATTGTATAGTCAATGATTAATTCATATTCTATTTTAATATGAATATTATATGGAGATAATTTTTTTGATGACAAGGAAAATTTACGGTTGCTATTCTTTGGGTGCATTGGTTAATACTCCTGCTTCTACCAATAGCTCGCAAACCATATATGAGAGTTAATCTGCACAAAACAAGTCTGGTGCGACGAGCTCGACCAGAAAGCAAACCCCTTACTTTCCCTAATAAAAATTTCAAACTTGAGACCTCCAACATAGAAGCTCCAAGCTCAAATCATTGGGTCACCCCCAAGGGTCAAATGTAGATAATTTTTCATCATACAATTCTTGATCATAAAACATGTTAAGGATCATTTGATAGCTAAATAAGAGAATTAATTATTCATATAATAATTTTTGTATATCTCATATGATGTTTGGTAAATGTTTTTGTATAGATAAGTTTTCATTTTTTTAGTCATGCGAGATCTTGATTAGATAATATTTCACTCCATATAACATAGTTATCATTTATTTGATAACTGAATAAGGAACAAGTTTTTCATGTATTAATTTTCATATAATTTATATGATATTTTGTAGGTAGATAAGAATAAGTTATTCATATAAAATAATAAGACGTTTGATTGACCATTTAGAAACCTACATAACTAATACATGAACATATTATGAGGAATTCTATGTAGGATAAAAGGTTAAATAACTAATACACGAATAATTAATCGATGAATAACTTTAACCAGCTATCAAACGACCCCTTAGTGTAACAATTACTTTATAAAACTTACCTTCAAATTTTGATGACACATTCTTATCACATGAAATACTAGATACGAGCTTATATTACATTCCTCCCTTTCCAATACACTACATAACATCATTGTAAATCTCTCAACTATTTTAAATTATTGAGGCGAGATACTTAAAACTTACTGTTGAGATATTTGTATATCAATACACACTTTTAACTCTGCCTCCTGAGTTACATCACTAAATTTTAACATCCAAACAAGACCTTAAATAGAAGTCTGCAAAAGCCTGTGGGCTCACAACTTTGAAGCCACGTTTACTTCTTTTCTTTTCTTTTTTTGTTTGCGAAAAATACTCAAAATGTTAGCGCATTGCACAAAGTCATCGCTGCCGGCGGCGGACGCCCACCTACCAACGCTGCGGCTCCCAAATCCACGGCGGAGTCCGGCCCCGGAGCTTCATTTCGGCTTCAATAGTTTTTCTACTAGAACATCGAAACTGCAAGTCAAAGCTTTGGACCGGAACAGTAACAACAGTAGCACCGGTGACGGCGTCGGCGCTAGTAAGAACGCCGCTTCATCGCCGTCATCATCGGTTCCGAACACGAACTACGTGGTGCCACTAGACAAGGCTTCGTCTTGCATTACTCGTCCCTTGGCCGAGATCCTACGTGACCTGAACAAGAGAATTCCTGATAACATCATCAAAGCTGGTAACAATGATGATCACTCCACCTTTATCACCTGGTAATTTCATTTCTCTTTTATTAGTTTTATAATTTTTGATTTTGCAGGCACAATTTTAAAAGATGTTTCAGTTTAAGAAATTGTTGCTTACGGGATGTTATATCATTTATGTACTCTCCGAATATGTAAAAATATAATAATTCACATGAATTCTATCAGTCTGAAGGAGTATTTGATTAAGATCAGCCGCAGCGATTTCTGTTGTTGATCTGATACTGAAGACGTTGTTAATTATTTAGGTACCATGCTAACCGGATGTTGAGCTTCTACGCTCCAGGTACGGTAGCATTTTTGTTTATTTTTTCTATCATTATGTTGTTGTGTACTACTTATGACTGTGTTCTATTCGTTGTATCATTGGTAGAGAAATAGGTTTTGGAAAGTGTGTAATCTGGTTATGTAGATGAGATTGTATTATTTTCTTTTGTCGGAACTAATGGAAACATTTTGACATGTGTAAAAGCCCCAATTTTTATTTGCCTGTGATTTGTTAATAATTTAATTCTTTTGCAAAGGAATTGAGTTATTCTGAGACCATCACTAGAAGTAGGAATCCCTTGAGCCTAGAACAGAGAACATGTCTTAGATGATGTTCCTGTGCATATGTTTATGGTGACTCTTCTTCTGGATTGGCAGTATTTAAAACCTTAATCAGCACATTTGAAGAAATGCACTTCTCAACCATAGATACCTCTTCTTTCTCGTCTTCTTTTATGTTGAAAGATTGTGTCTAGGATTTTCTGTTACTTAACTAACTCCATCACAAGTTATTGTTTTTCGGTGTCCTCCATAAAATGAAAATTTTAAAATAAAGCATAACTAATTCATTTAATATCTTCAAATCTGCAATAGGGCATAGCCTCCAAAGCTTTGACATTTTTAGCTGTTCTACTCAATGAATGTCCTAATAGTCAGTTTTCAAGGTTCCTTCTTCTGTTCCGTATTCCTTTCTTACAGTGTAGAATGATCCCTTCCATTTTCCCAAGTCCTAGGCATAAGTAAGGGTTGGGGGCTTGAATGTTCTAACCCTTGAGCCTCCTCCTTCAATCCCATGAGAGGTTCTTCCTCTGAAAAGCTAGTTTGTCAGGAGTTTTGTTAACTGTTGATTGGATGCCGCAGGAAATGTCTTTGCTTGGATTACTACATCAAAAACAGAAGGAGTTGTCTCTGTTTGGGGTACCCTAAAGCTTAAGCCACAGATTCTAATTAACTGATAAAAAAAAACAACAAAATATCTCAAAGATCATATTGTTATGCCTAGGTTTGCACTTCTGATAATGGTGCAATCCTCACTTCTTTGTATTAGTTTAAGTTTCTGCAATTTTCTTCAGTCAACAATTTTGGATAACTGAACGTATCTCGTATCTTCTGATCTTTAATGCTTTCACAATTATGATACTGAAATGTGGCGATCTGGATTTAGCTTTTAAAATCTAATGTTGAGATCAAGCTACTTATACATCTCTGGGGAACATGAGCTTGGACTTTGTAAAGATAAAAGATATATGATTAATTCATCTTTAATGCTAGTTTTTACTGTAGCTAAATTAGCATCTAGACAAATTTCACCCTTGATATTGTTTAATTTGCTGTCTAGATGAGTTGGGAAATATGGGATAACCAATGGACAGTAAGCAGACTTGAAATTCTCACCCACCAATTTTTCATTGAAACACCTATATTTGTCAAGCATATTTTATTCCTTAGCAGTATTCCCAGCAAAAAACATTTGCTTACTATGTGGCCACGGCAGATGAATCAATGATATTTCAGAAATTCTCAGTAATTCTTGTTTCCTTTTTTCTTCTTCTCCTTCCATTATATTATTTGTTTTAACCTTCTCATGTCTTCTTCTTCCAATTGGAAATGACATGCTTCTTCTATCTGATCGGCCCTATTATTCTACCTTCAATTTTTTTTTCTGCAACATTTTTGCTCTAGTTTTCTTAATGTTTTCACTTCATTGTGCTGATGCTTAATCCCTTGCCCTTTTAACTTCTATGAGGCATTTACATTTTTGGTTTAATAATATGTGTTGCAAGCTTCAGCATAATGGTTGATTTGCTTTGTACTTAACTATTATTATTTCTGAGTTTTTCTGGAAATGACTAGAAAAATATGTGCAAATGACCTTCATGCAGCATATTGATGACTGATTTAAACACTGGGAATTAATTTTGGTGTTCTGAGCATATGTGATGATTAAATTTCTTTTGACAGGCTGGTGCGGGGAAGTACGAGATGTCATTTTCTCAGATAATGGAAGTGTGACAGTTGTTTATCGTGTCACTATACGCGGATCAGATGGAGAGGTATGATCATTCCTCCGAATGAGTGCCTCATCCTTTTTTTTCTATGTTTTCCCCCTTCCTCTTCCCCCTTCACCATTTCTGAATATGCTTCTATGTTTGATTATAATCAGCAAGGGCCAAGTAGACTTGATCAAGAATTGGCTATAAGTCTTCCTTTTTTAGAATTAAATCATTATGCAGCCAATATGGCTTGTTTGATTTTGTTGTTCCAACATGAAATGCCCATTCTTTATTTTTCCTTTATTGTAATTCATTTTAATTGCCAAATGATGAAGTGGTAGAATTTTTGGCTCTAGAAGATTGAAAACCTAAGTCCGTTAAAAAACTGAAGTACAAAGTTGTTCCTGTGAGGATTTATGAAACTAGCTAGCATATGATTAAACAAAGGTATTTAAGATGTATTCGATGTAGCTCAAAGCTTAAATAAGAATGAAAAAGTATTAGGCGATTAACAAATAAATAAATAAATAGGTCATAGAAGCCCTTAAAATTCCTCAAAGTCTTGGCAGATCTTGAGCTTGAAGTATTGAATTTGTCAGCGTAAGGCGGAGGCCAACCTAGAATCTGCCACGTAAGATAACATTGTTAGATTTTTTAATGTCTAATAAAGATTGCAGCTAGTTTTCCTCTTACTATGATTATTTATATTTATGTTTGCGGGAGCTTTACTATATACTGTAGATTTGTTGATCAAAATCAGGTCAACAACTCCATACACTGCATATACATGGTTTATGTCGTGTTGCCAGTCTGTGAAGATCTAGACGTATTACAAGTATTTAGGTTGTGATAAAACCCTACTCCACTTTTTCTCTTCTACATCCAAAATTTGGGTCATCTTTTGATTGTGAACACAAACCAGTAATCTTCTCAGACATTAGTTGAGATACGCTCAAGTTGATCTAGACACCACCATAATCAAAATAATAATAATCTTTCTGACATGAAGAATACGCTGTAGCCAAAGTCTAAAGTTTCATTTCAGACTTCTGATGTGAGTCTATTAGAACATATTGAAAAGAAAACTAATAGTTGGTCCAAATTTTCGAAGGTTGTGTCTTCATAACTGCAGCAAGACAATTCTTATGTTTGTATTTCTTATTTCTCAGATATGCAGATTTTCTAAAATCCAAGTTTGTAATTCTTTGTAATTTTCTAGGTATAGGTTAAAGCTTAGTTCATTCTGTCCTTTACTCTTGATCATCTTTGGATTATATTAGCCAGTAGGATTTCTGATACCTATTTGGAGTTTTATCCTGGAATAAGAGTAGGCCTACAAACTCCACCATAATGCATATGTTTCAGCAAGGTTGCCTTAATTTGGCTATTGTGGGAAGTGATACTGATACCTTTTGCATTTGATAAAGTGGGCTTGCATGGACAGGTTTAATGATAAAGCAACTGTTCATTATTCTATTTGAAGGACCACGTCTCTTCTATTAGCTTGCATGTAGGTTGTGGGCTCTGTTCATTACACTACCAACCATCACTAAAGGTGCCTTTATTTGGCTCAAGTATCATGTGTTATTGATGTGTTGTAAAACTACCAAGATGGAGAAGTCTATTGATCAATAATTGATCTTGCTATGTTTTTGAAAAAGCAAGCAAGCACTTCCAAGTTCCGATAAACACTTGTCCTGTTGAATTTATGTTGAAGTCATAGTCACCTTCCTTCCTTTTTTTGATATGTGTACTTGTACATTCTTTTGATGCATTATTCTAGGCACACCGTGAATCAACTGGAACAGTATCACCAGGCAATGGACAGTACACAGATGTGGTTGCTGCTGCTGAGGAGATAGCATTTTGCAGAGCATGTGCTCGTTTCGGGCTTGGCTTGTATCTGTATCATTAATAAGAATAGTGGACAGTTTTGAAGATGCTGTTGAAGGAAACATGATGTAATATTTATTATGCGGGATGATGTAAAAATATTATTCATGAGGATTGTTAGTTATGTACTAAAATTATGGTCATGGTCATGGTCATGGAGGATGAAGCCTCAAAATATGAAAAGATATCAGATATCTTCTATTGTTCGACAGAAGTGTATCGTATGTATTTGTTAGATTGTAATGCCTCAGTAGTTGATGCTTATTATTTATGTAGAAATAACGTCCACTGATCATTTCTCGGTTGAAATTTCGCCGACAAGTGTGTTGTTTGTGAATTTTACTCCAAAGTGGATCGATGTCAAAATATACGCCCTAGAATGATTGGGTAGTGCACAAATATTCGATTTTAGGTAGCAAAGATTTCTGCTCCACCCAACATACAAATATTTTATTTGGTATATTTAGATATACATTGTTGATACCTAATATATGATAATAATAATGATAATAATAAGAATTTGATATACAAAATAGTTTGTAACTGTACATGATTTCATTTATATCTAATAATACTTATATTACCGTATTTAGTTTTAATCTTCTTTTAACTTTTTAAAGTTGTAGTTAGGGTGTTCACGGGTTGATTTAGATCGATTATTGGTCAAAATCATATTAATTTAATCGGTTTTAAAATTATCAAAACCAAACCATATCAAATATAATGCACATTTATCGATTTGGTTAGTTTTTATTTTGGTTTGGTTTAGTTCGGTTATTAACCAAACATAAAAATAAAAGAAACAAGTCATTCAAAATGTGAAAAAAGTGAAAACAATCTATCCATTCAAAAGATAAAAGCCAGTTAGAATGAATGTCATCACAAAATATTCGATCATTGAATTTACTGAATAAAACTTCAAAATTCACTATTTTGGCATTAGAAGGCAGAGACAATGACTTTTTCAGTCCCACAAAGAATTTCGATAGACACTCATATACATGAAACCAATAAGAAAAATGTTTTCACGTTACACTTTTTTTCATAAGTAAATTATATATAAATTTTGATGAAACATATGCAATCTTTAAATTGTTTATCAATATAAACATTATGTATGTATAATACTAAAACATATGTATATAACTTGTTGGTTCAGTTCGGTTATTTATTCGATTTTTTCGATCAAAATCATAATCAAATCAAATACTATTGGTCCTTAACAATCTAAAACCAAACCAAATCATAATCGAAATTAAATCAATTTGGTTTGATTTTTTGATTTGGATCGATTTTTATTCAAACCACGAACACCCCTAGTTGTAGTATATATAATACTTTTGCTCCTTAACCTAGTATGAAATTGCGGATTAAAAATTTTAATTTATAACCTGCCTCGCCCCGCTTCAATATTTTTATGAAGTAGTCCAACCCGCCCCGCTTCTTCTTTAACCCATCCCGCCCCATCCAACACATGTCCCGTGCCATTGTCATTCCTAATTTTAGGACCACAATTTAAAGAATAGCCAAAGTTACAAAGTTTTAAAGTTTAAGAGGGTGTTTGAATTGACTTAAAAGTAAGTTTTTCAAATTAAAAAATAAGTCAAAATGACTTAAAATAAGTTATAGTATATTCACAAGGTTAAAAATAACTTAAAATAAGTTAAAATTAAAAATAGGTCTTCCGTTATTTTATGTTTTTTGACTTAAAATCATTTAAGTTTAACCTATTATTCTTTAGATAAAAACGTTTTTTTTTTGTTTAAAAAAAAAACACTCCAAACGGCTCATTTTTAAAGAAAAAATCATTTTTAATTCATGTATGATTAGCCCTTAATTACTAATTTTTCACGTTATCGCATTAGTATTTCTCACGTGACTAATTTATACATTTATGAATTTTATAATATTATTAATAATTAGTGTTATCCACTCGATTAGGATTGAATCGAACGTCATAATTTCAACCAAAAAAGTTATTCTTTTGACGGTTTTAATAACAAACTTAATTTTTTGTTATCGCGTTATTGATTTTTCATGGTTTGAATTTTTTTCTTAACGGATTAACCGATAACCCAATAGCAAATTAAATAATTATATTTATACCATTTTGTTTATAAAATCCTTGACTTAGAGTTTAGTTTCCTACATTTATTTATGGATATTTCAAACTCTTATTCTACAATGTAAAAGAGTTTGTTTTTTATCAAGATGTAATTTCTGAACTCATATGCATGGTACATTTGATTTGTCACATTGTTTCTAAGTGATTTTCAGTAAATTTTTTTTGTGTCAAATCTTAACGATTAAATTGATAACCTATTAACCAATTACTAATAAGTTTATATCTTAAAGGTTCTGTAACGATTACATCCCTACAAATCAATAATCAATAAGTTAAATTGGTAAACTTCAAAATCGAAGTGATTGTATGCAGCCAAATAAAGTTTCTTAGCTATAGACCTCGATCTTGAGTATGAAATTAGGTTTAGATTGTTCATAACTTCAAACTTTTTGGGTGACACAAACTTTTAAGCTAGGCTATGGTATTGTAGAGAATAACAAAAAAAAAGTATAATCGGGAAATCTTCTACTAGCTCAAGATCGTTAACCAAGATCGGAAGACTCAACTAACGAAGAAGAACCTAGAAAGGAGAACTTGTTTATGGAAGAATACTCTTTTATTAGGTTGTTCTTGAGTTGCTTTGGTTGATTATAATTGTACAATATCATCTCATATTTATACTAACGTAGGGATTGTTCTAGATACTACAAGCTCTAGACTATTCTATTATTTACTACAAAAATATTTTCAAGAAGATTCTTGTGAACTTATTGTTAGTGAAAACTTACAAGATAACAAAAAATACAATATTAGAGCTGAAAACGAAATGAAGAAATAAAATCTCTTCACACTGAGGCGCAAATATCTTGCTCTCTTTAAAGAAATTTCAGTCCACTGCAACAAATGTTTTCACCGGTCCAGCAGTAGTCCTCTTTGACTTGTCCCCTCCAGGATATAATATCCTATTCACAAAAGATAATCAACAACTCTAGACAAGAGTTGAGTCTAAAGCTCCACAAAAATAACACCTCCTTTCAACCAATAAGAACTCTCTTTTTGACATACTTTATCACTCTATATCTTCTCTTATGTGTTGTATGTCTAAAACCAAATGAAAACCACCACTGTTTATACTATAAAAAGTCTTCTTAACAATGAATAAGAAGATAATAGTGTAGTAAATAGTAAAAGTAATGATCTTAGGAGTTACATATATTGCATAAGTTACAAAGAATAATAAAGGAATAAAAGGTGAGGATAAAGGAGAAATAAGTTTAAGAAGAAGTAATGGCCATGGTTGACCAACTTCTCCCTCAGACAGTAACTTCCAATGGTTCAACAAATAATGGTAATTATAACATTGATTAACAGGTGAATAATAAGGTACCAATAAGCCATTTAAGAATACGAGCAATTTTAACATAAAATATAATATTAAAATGCTCATTAACCAATAATACCCCACTCATTTTAATATTAAACTAAGAGAATATATCAGTTGAAGGAAGACTGTCATGCATAATGAAGGTGTGCTCTCATTGAACCTTCACTTAGTGAAACAGTAATTTTTACTCCAGAGTCGTAGTAGTCTCAGACTTGAACTGTGACTTCTTGAGGGAAATAAAATATCTCTGTCCACACATTATAATCAAGGTGTTGACATGAGCTCTAAAAGCCAGCAGGTTACGGTCATGTGCTATCAAGGTTTCACGAGTGTTTTTGAGAATAATACTAATTCTCATAGAAAGCGACCTACTTCCACACATCACATAGGTGAAATTTTTCGAGAGTGTCCCCTGTAAGATTAACACTGTACCCATACGGGCTACAAATATTCATTAAGAGTTTTATTAACTCAGCCTTCACAAACTATAGGAAAAAAATGCACCCACATCATAGGGAGGGAACAAAAAGATAATGCATTTTTTCACAAAAAGTCATCATATGATTAGTTTTTCCCTTTGAACCTAGTTATAGGATCTCTAGTCCCTAGATTGGGCTTCCTCATATATGACTCAAGCATTTATAGACTTCAATCTCACCTCCCCCCTCCCCCCGATGTGCTCCAAACTTTTTCTCTTGTTAAGGCTTTAGTAAGAGGATCTGCAAGATTATCGCAAGATTTCACATAATCAACATTAATGGTACCATTTGTCAAATATGACGTTACATTACTGTGTTTCCTCCTTATAGGTTTGGATTTACCATTGTAACGGTTTTGAACTCTACCAATTGCAGCGGTGCTATCACAATAAATTAAAATAGGAGGAACTGATTTTTCAAAATAAGAAATTTGAAATAATAAATCTCTTAAGCAATTCGCTTCCTTACTAACTGAAGCTAAAACAATTAGTTCAACCTTCATGGCAGAGTTAAAAATTATTGTTTGCTTTTTGATCTCCAACAAACAGCACCACCACGTAAAGTAAAGACATAACTAGTGGTAGAACATGAATCGCCTGATAAACTGTTCCAATTCGCATCACAAAAATCTTCAAGTATAGCAGGATAGTTTTTATAGAACAAACCACAAATTTTCATTCCAATTAAATATTTCACAACTCTTGTTACAACATGCCGATGTTCATTACCTGGCTTGCTTGTAAACCTGCCAAGCACTCCTACTGCATATGAATATTAGTCCTAGTGCAATCAGTAATATATCTCAAATTTTCGATTATACTAGCATATTTCTTTTGATTTATTACATCATTTTCACTTTCAAGAGGAAAAAAGTGAACACTTGAATCAAAAGGAGTAGCAACATGTTTGTAATCATGAAAGTTATATTTTTTCAAAATTTTCTCAACATAATGTAACTCTGGTCAAGGAAAATTTCCTCATATGTTCTTGTTACTTTTATTCCAAGAATAAAATTTGTCTCACCAAGATCTTTCATATCAAAATGACTTCTAAGAATATTTTTAGTTTCATCAATAACATTCATGTTAAAGTCAAAGATCAACAAGTCATCAACATATAGGCAAATAATCAACATGTGAATTATTCCAAGAGTTATGATATATGCACTTATCACACTCATTTGTTTTAAAACCATTTTGAATAATTATGCAGGAATCAAATTCATTTCATTTCTTTGGTGCTTGTTTCAATTCATATAGGGATTTAGTAAGTTTAGTACTTTGATTTCTTGGACTGTTTCAACAAAACACTCGGGTTGATCCATATAAGTTTCTTCATTTAGGTCTCCATTTAGAAAAAAAACAGTT